AATTAATATTGATATCGAAGCGACGTGGAGCCAGTACAGCACATATAGGAATTTTATAATTGCGTGCTTTAAATTCGCATAACGCATACCATATATATATAGATAAAAGTGACAACGGATTACAAAAAATATATTAAACAAGCACATTGGATTTTTTTTAATAAAATTGAAGTGACAATCGATCTTACAGCCTACTAAGAACTAACTTCAAACAAAGAAGGTTACAGATGCGTTGTCACCTCTGAGGATAAAATGTCTCACAGTCTGTAGTTATACTGACTCTCTACGCCCTATCGGGACACAGCAGTGTAAGCACTGGTAAATAGCAGTAGAAATTGGTAAAAGAACCCAGACGAACTCCAAGGCAGAAAAAAGTTCCATCACCTACTGTAAAAACATCCCTAATGTGGTAGAAATTTAAGCCGCCAGCAATATTAATGAAAAAAATCGTAAAACCATGAAGAAATCCTTCTATAACACCATACACACTAATTCATCATTAAAATTGCTGATGAACATAGGTTTCTCAGATAGATTTTCTTTTATAGAATAAGAGTGACAAACGAGCACACAGTCCACCTGATGGTAAGTGGTTGCTGCGGCCCATAGACATCTATATCTATGTTCGTTTGCAAATTAATATGCAGATGAAGCAGGTAGCAGGTAGAATGCCTCTTTTCCAGTAAAAAGGGTCTCCGGTTCTCTGCGCTCGCCATACGAAACACAGTGACATTAAGCTGCTATTTTACGTTGGTATTCTGTGACAGCGTGGTCCTTCCCTGGTCGAGCCGACTCATTCGTGCTACAACTTTACTATTAGTATAGCTGCAGCATGGCTCTCTACCACGTACGATTGCCTCATAATGGGGATATTTGCAATAGTTGCCACGTTTGGCACGCGTTCTAACACGAAGATGCTGCTGTCATGTTCAGATTCCCTCTCTCTATTGGGACACCTACGGGATAACATGGGGTGGTGATTTATTTTACACCGCTATTAGTAGCATTACCATTACAACTTATCAAAAGTTCTCTGCTGAACACAGGCTTCCCCCATAGATTGCCTGAATGGATGCCTTAAAAGCCAAATATCCCCCATATTTGGCTTTTAATTGACTGTTCGTTTGCCCCCTCTTCTATAATAAAAGCTACCCTCTGTCGCCTGTTTCAACAGCCACAGTATGTGTAGTGTATATATTCTTAGTCTATTTATTAGGCATATTAGGATTGGGGAGAAATTAAAAAAACTCTCTACAAACAAAACCCTCAGCTAAAAACATTTCATAATATTTTTGACCTTACTCATAGTATAAAATGAAAGACGACTTCAAGATCTAACAAATATGAATTCGAGGCTTTAATTGTTCCCTACACCTTGTCCTGGCATCTCTTTTTGGTAGACTAAGGAATATTACAAGCTCAAGGTACCTAGCAACTACAATGTCATCAACTTATATAGCTACATTAAGAACTTTATCACCTATTCCCCACCCTTGAGGCCCCTGGGAATGAGGTGATCGTTACCATGGTGTTTCTAAATGTTTTTATAACAATTGTATAAAATATTATATTTTAAATTGTGCTTTTTTTTTTAAAAAATAGTCCCGCTGGGTTTCTTGCTGGTTCTTCTTAGTACAGAAGTATTTTGTGGACCAGTTGTAAAAGTAAAAAAAAATACTTTCAATATGTATTATGTACTGTAATCTATATTGAATAAAAATGATTTTATTCTATTCTATACGAAACACAGCAGCATCAAGCTGCTATTTGACGCTGGTATTTTGTGAGAGCGTGGTCCTTCCTCGGTCGAACGGACCCCCTCGTGCTACAACCACAATATAGTTGTTGTAGCATGGCTCTACCACGTACAAAATAGTCATTTTCAAGATTGACAAAGATATCGCATAACATATATATACAAAAAATATACAGTTCCACCTATTATAAAATCGGCTAAAAATTATGAACCCAATGAATCACATTACGCAATTGCGATTCTTTCGATGTTCCAGGTGTTCTTAAAGAAAATCCCTTACCTTTCGTTGAACCGCATTCTCATTTGTCCTCTCTTCTATAGAAAAAAAAACTTGTGACCGATTCACAGACCTACCATAAACACGAAACTGTAACCATTACTTCAACTAAATATATTTCGTAAATTGAAAGAATACGACGTAAAAGTTGTGCAACTTTAACACTACGAATTTAAGGAAAAATCTTATCGACATCACGCAATAGTAAATGAAACGCCATTTCACATTAGAAAGCATGTGATGTAGGCATGCACTTAAAAGTATCACCACATATCTTTCTTATCTTATCTTACTACCAATTAGTAAATATTTAAAATTCAAACGAGCACTTAATGAAACTCGTATCACATGCAATGATGAGTTTTGATAGTATGTACTTTTTATTCAATCCAGCAAAATGTTAAATTAGACAATACAATAAAAATTAAATAGTTTTAGTCCTTCCACGCCCGATAGTAACAATTATAATTCAATAACATTTTATAAACAAGTCCACTAAAGGAACTAAGAATTCCTCACTATAAAAGAAAATAACAAATTTAACAAGCGTTCATATCCACGTAACAAGCATTGCTTCGACAAATTCCAATACAAAACAGGACAGGCAACGCCATCTATAGAACGACAATCGACACTTCCAACGACATCTCCGCATCACAATTACAAAATACAGAATTCACCGTAGGACTCTTAACATTCTATAGGCTAGACGTGAATCAAGCTGCTCCATAATTCATAGGGCATATAACTAAAGCATCGGGGTCCTTCATACGCCCCCCGCGTGGAACATTTTTCACTCGCCATACTGAATAATCCAAAAAGCATAAATAAGAGCTGGCGGTTGGCGCGCTCCGTCCAATACAAACAATGCTTTACGCTCGAATAAGTTAATACCAACTGAAAGTATACAGCCTTCCATCATTCAATATATACTGGTAAATTTACATTTATTTATATGTCGCTGATCCATCCATTATCATTTAGCAAGGCGATCAGTATATACGTATAGTATGGTATTTCTAACCAAAGAATAGAATTTCTAGCTAGGAATTCAAATTCCGAGTTCATATAATGAAGTTCTTTGCCGGTTTTGGTCTTCATAGGTCAGTGTTAAATAGTACAGTTCAAGAACAAAACTTGGGAAAATACTAAAAACATTCAGAGTATCTGTCAAACTTGAGAATACTAGGACGCTCAAGTAGCCTTTAAACTGTGTTTTAAAACAGCTAAACTGCAATGATCTAATATTTAAATAATTTCACCTTTACTGCATATAAATTAAACATCAATTTTAAATTTGTATACGTCCGAGCTTTAAATAATGATCAAACCCGCGAGTTTTACTGTCTCTTCTCCTCTGTGTTGTTTCTTACGCAATCTCTGGATACCACTACTCACTTATGTTTAATTCTATGATCATTCATTGATTCATTACAGCTTATCAGAAGTCCACTGTTGAAAATAGGTCTCCCCATGATATTGCGTCACAGGAGGATATTTGACATAGTTGCATAGGCAGTTTGGCGTCCCCTGTTTCAATTCTCTGTGTTGCCTCTTACGACACCGACAGGATGATATGGTGGATTATACAACGCCACCACTTTATGCCGAGTAGTGAAGTAGAATCCACTGTATTGTAATCTATAATTATAACGGCTTTTTAGTTTTGTTGAAAATCAAATTAATTGTTTAGATAAATGCTAGTGATTATATGTAAATGTTGGAATGTATGTTGTCTCAATAGAAGTGGTAAAATTAGAAATTTAGTACAACCGACTTCAATATAAATAAAATGAGAACATCATCAATGTAGTCGAAGTCAATTAAAAACGCATTATTAAGGATAGCTCAAAAACTACTGATCAGATCTTCATCAAATGTGATGGATGCATAAGGATAAGCACCAGCTTTCAAATAAAAATCATCAAAATCGGTTCACTTAGAAAAAAGTACTGTGGTAACACACACAAAAAAATACAGTCGAATTGAAAACCTCCTCCTTTTTTGAAGTCGGTTGAATAATAAAATGCAATAAATTATACCCTATGATCATCGCGAAAATTGAGAATTTTATAAGTACCAAGAAATCTGAATAATTGTTTTAAAAATGTTTCAGATGAAAGAAATATCAAAAGTAGCAACTTAAAATCAATTTCAAATATACGTCACACAAATAATATGATGATTAATTTAGTTATTAAACAGCGGCAAGTAAAATCTACAATACCAATGAAAAATATAAGAAAGCAATAAACGTAAAATAAACCGAATTACACCAGTGTGCATAAACGTCGTTTCTACGACTCTAGAACAACTGAGAATACTATAACAGAACTTATTTAATAAGTCGGCAGGTGTACACACAACTGAAAGTATAAACCCCTTTGCTGTCAATATTTCACGCGTTCGAACCAAAGATTTGCTTCGTCATTAATAATGCCTACAGCAAAGGAACAATCTGCCGGTGTATGTCTGTCTTTCCGTCCGATTATAATCTGGGCGTCTTCAAGGCAAAAGTGGATAGGCTTTTATTACGCAAAGACCATCTAGGGCTTCAGGCTCAGGATTTACCATTTAGGGCTTCGTCAACACTCACCACCATGTGGGATTCTAGTCAAGCACTGGCTTACGATAAAGAGAAAAATTTGTTGATACGAGACAAATCATTTATAATTATAACACACACACACGCGCACACATTATGTTGTTGTATGTACAGTGTTATATTTATTTTGTTTAATACTTTCGTACCGAGAGGCGTCGCTCTTACTTTTATATTATGTATAGATAACATAGACCGTAATCAGGTTTATATTAAGATAATCCAATTTGATGTAAGTTTTTTTGTTAAAGCTGTTGGTTTTCTAATTTTTTTTTAATTTAATGGTACATAAAATACATTACAATAGTACATAGTTACTATTCAGCACGTAGCGTCTTTAATCGATTTAATTACATAACACTTACGATTGAGATGGTTAATATAGTAAGGCCCGATCTGCGGATCGTAGGCTTCCTCCCAGCCCAGAGGCAGCTCATTGCCGATGCAGTCCGCGAATGTTTGAGGCTTTGTGTATCTGAAACAATAATTGTTTTTTCTCATATACCATTCGAAAAAGTGACACTTGGTATGGCATGCTTTTTGGAATTCCGCAAAATGGTACAGCAGGGTTTGACTTACGAGAAACATCTTAAGAATATTTTCATTTATTCATTATGCATTATTCTGAGTCATTAGAGGATATTTGTCATATTTGCCATGTTTGGGGAGCCGGTTGGATGCTGTTGCCCCTATCCTGTTTAAATTCCCTTTACCGCATTTTCAATTTCTCATACGCTGGTATTACACGGCGGAAGAATATTTTTATAAAGCTTGAAAAGGAAATTCAAAAGTAAAATAATTTAAAATAGGTATTGATGATTTTATTGTTTTATATAACCTTCTCAGATATTAGAGGCCTGTGCCCAACAGTGAGACGTATATAGGCTGCAATTTTAACTTTTAAGTATAGATAAATGAAAGATTTTTATTGAGTATAGATAGAGCTCCGTGCCGCAGTGGCTTAGCAATGAGTTGCAGCGCTGAGGGCCGTCGGTTCGAATCCCGAACGGAACAAGTATTTGTATGGCCTACAAATAACTGTTCCGAGTCTGGATGTTTGTCCTTGTGAAATTTATATATGTAAACTGCCCACGATACAGGAGAAATCCTAGTGTGAAGTTAACGTTTTAAAAAAAAAGTACAAAAAGAAACACGTGTGTATTGTTTGAAATTCTGTCATATTATAATTTTATATCTTTGACAACACTATTGTAATCTTTCAATTAAGCTTTTTCTGTCATGTTTTAATTATTCTTTGACAACACTATTATAAGCTTTTAATAAAAAAATATGTATGTAGCAGATACAGCAGAAAACCCTAGTGTGGAGGTAATGTTTTTATAGAGAAAAAAAAAAGAATATAAGAGAAATTCAATAGGAATTATGTAAATGCGAGTAGACAGCCAAAGCTGAAACAAGTTATTACTATAATTTGTAAACAAAAGATCTCTTTCGGATGTATAGCAATACCCAACACCTAACTTCTGTATAGACCCGCCTATTTACAAGAAACTAATTCTTAATTTAGTAGCTTCTGCAATATTAAATCACTCCCATAGGCCTTACTTCGACGTCGGCCACCTGCTTCCCACGAATTCAAGGGACTAACCTATTAAAACGCGCTCCTGTTACTATCATTAAATAAAAAAAAAACAACAGACACCCGTTATTATTTTTCGGTTTATCCGACTGGATAATTTTGACTAGTTGGTATCGCTAGCGTTGGGACAAAACCAATTTCATCTTAACGCCAGTTTCTGTTTGATGTAATTCTAAATATTGGATGGTCACGCAAACATGAGTGATTGTGTCAAATTAAGTCTTATTATAGAGCCTTAGCTCAAGGGCTAAGCGCTAGTCGTAAATTACGCGGGTAATCCGGGTTCAAACCCGGCCGGCACCAATGATATTGTTAATTGCTGATTTGAAGCAACAATAGCTTAGTGGCGGACTGCAAGCTAAAAGATCGTGGATTCCAATTCGCTATTCATCTTCTGTACTGTACCAATTCTTGTACAATAATTTTAAGCTCACTTGCATTTATTTTTTATAGAATAAAAGTGAAAAACGATCACACAGTCAAATCAAATGCGTTGTTACCCCTGAGGACTAAGATGCGTCATTTCCAGTAAAAAGCATCTCGGATTCACACTCACCATACAAACACACCATCATTGAGCTGATATTTTACGGTGGCATTCTGTAAGAACGTTGTCCTTCCCCGGTCGAGGCGACTCATACGTGTAGCTATACAGCAGCGTTGCTCTACCACATTAATTACTGTTTTTAAGTGTTAGGATTGTGAAAGCCAAAGCTTTAGAACGAGGGTATAATTAATTATTTTAGAAAATTACTATGGTTTAGTAATGATATGATCGTTAATTAAATTACAAATAATTATTACAGGTACTTATTATTATAATTATAGAAATATTTATTAGTACTTAACATTGAAATTGTTTTAACGTAGAATAGTTTTTATCTCGTTGTCACAAAAGATACGTATGAAAATTCACAGCATTGTGAATTGCCATACGTGCCTTTTGTGACACATTATAACTTTCCACAATAGTCTATGAAAGTTAAAACACTATAAAGCTTTGAATAATTGAAATTATTGTAATAAAATGTGTCAGGATCCCGCCAAATGGAAATCAGTAATAACTGTCTACCCCTCTGGGTGACAGGCGTGAGTGTTTACGTATGTACGTAATTGAAATCCCTCCTGCTAGGCGAATTCCACAAATAATACACAGCTTTAATTACTGTGGCCTATACCGGCCCATTACGACTCACATTAATTTCTAAGACACGAGCTTTATATCAGGTGTGTTCATGCAAATTTTATTTTATTTCATACTAGCAACCCGTCCCGGCTTCGTCTATATAGGATCTATGAACGTGGCGTTATTTATATTTAAGATAATCAAAAGCCATTTATAAAATCCATTCATTTGTTTTTCAAAAAATATTGTCATTTTTTTTTCGGATAAAATATAACTTAGAGAGATCCTGTTATTGCTCGCTATCTGTTCGTAAGGTTTCATTTTTCAATTGGACTAGCCATTCCAAATATTAGCCCGAACAGACAGACAGACAAAATTTTAAAAATGGTAATGTCATAATAGCATGCAAATAACCTCCTTCTTGAGCTTTACAAAAGCCAGTTATTTCTATATTACAAACAGACACTTCAATTTTATTTATATGTATAGATTATTGAACAAGTTACACAAACAGACAGTAGTTATATACAGTTATAAAATCAAAAGTACAATTGTGTTTATCCAAACAATTATACAAAATAAATGTACACAGCATAATAACACAGTAGACACAGCCGTAGCAAAAAGTAAACAAGTGACAAAAATATACTAAATATAGAGAAAAACGAAAGTTGCATTTAAATTTAAAAAGGCTAGTATCGAATATGTCTAGATAAAAGTTTCTAGGCATAATCACATAGTAAGTACGGCACATTTTGAAATTTCTTTTTGATTGTCGAGATGTACTACGTCTAATCTGAAAATGGGCGCTAAAATCACGCCAATTCATAATTTATTGCTATCTACAAGCATAAATCTTACCCGATATCGAAAACTAAACTCAAGAGTAATTGTGCTAAAAGCTACATTTTAACATAACTAACAAACTTATGTTATAGATAAAAATAACATAATATATCTTTGTCTATAATTTGAACACTTTGAATACTCGTTTCGTATTAAATACTTTTTTATTGTTACAATCAGAAAGTAATAAATTTAAAAAAAAAAATTGTGACTGCTTTATGGTGAATTCTATCTATAATTTAAAAATTTTATAATGACATGCATATATTATTCTTAAGTAAAATACTTTAGTTCAATTAGTATTTATTGCACTATTATCATATCATAAATATTTTTTAAACGTGTTAGATACGTGGTAGAGTCATGCTGCAGCTATATGTGTTGTGTTTGTAGCACTAATGGATCGGCTCGATCGGGGAAGGACCACGCTTTCTTAAAATACGTGTAATTTAAAATTATAACATCAGCTATCTGCCAGTGAAAGTCCCGTCAAAATCGGTCCAGCCGTTTCGGAGATTAGACGGAACAAACTGACAGACAGACAAAAATAAAAATAATTCTTTTTTGTTATTATTGCTGTATATACAAGTACTTTTAGTTACTTAGTAAAAAGCTGTTATTTTAACATTACAAACAGTCACTTCGATTTTATGTATTTATAATAAAATAACATAATATAATAATAATAGATATAGATAATCATACGCATTAATTACAAAACCTCCTAAACTAAATTATAACTACCTACCTGACCTATACTCAGTTAAAAATAAATAGTTGGCGAAATATCTCTATTTAACTAAAGGCTCACAATGGCTTGATTCATAATATGATTTTTTTTAATTTGCCTCGTAAATACTAAATTTTATATATTTTTTTAAATTACATGACACTCAGTGTTAATATGTGCAACACCTGTAAAACGTACTACATACAGTACTATAGACTTTAAACTAAATTATGGCATTAATATATTATATGGAGTGAAAGGAAGTAAATAATTTTTTTTTATAGGATAAGGGTGACAAACGAACGAGCACACAGTGCACCTGATGGTAAGTGGTTGCTGTGGCCCATAGACATCTACATCTATCCTCGTTTGCAAATAAAAATGCAGATGCGTTGCCACCCGTGAGGACCAAGATGGAATGCCTCATTTCCAGTAAAAAGGGCCTCGGGCTACCTGCACTCACCAAGCAAAACGCAGAGGTAAACCTCTACTTCACGCTGGTATTCTGTGAGGTCGTGGTACCACCTCGGTTCGAGCTGGCCCATCCGTGCGACAGCAAAAGCTGCCGCGTGGCTCTACCACTGAATATATTATGTACTTTTACTTTATTGGACTCCACAATATATCATATATTTATTATTCATTAATTACCACCTATCAAAATCCACTGCTGAACATAGGCCTCCCCGTTGCCTCACAAGAAGGATATTTGCCATAGTTGTCACGGTTGTCTGACGGGTTGGCAACCACAGCCATTTATATTCTACTAGGTAGATGCTGCTCCTCCTCTCCTTTGTTTTTTTTTTTATAGGATAGGGTGATAAACGAGCACACAGTCCACGTGATGGTAAGTGGTTGCTGTGACCCATAGACATCTACATTTATCCTCAATAAAGAATCAAAATGCAGATGCGTTGTCACCCGTGAGGAGTAAGATGGAGTGCCTCTTTTCCAGTAAAATGGGTCTCCGGTTCTCTATACTCACCATACGAAACAAAGCAGTGTCGAGCTGCCATTTTACGCTGGTATTCTGTGCGAGCGTGGTCCTTCCCCAGTCGAGCCGACCCATTCGTGGTACAACTATACTACTAATATAGCTGCAGCATGGCTCTACCACGTAATAGCTTTTTTTCACCTCTTAACGACACTTACAGGACAATAATGAGATAGTGG